TCTATTAGAATGAAAATAACACCCAATCAGCATGGATTCATGTCCAAAAGACCTACCGTAACAAACCTGGCGAGTATAACAGAATATATTTCTTGTGATCGTATTTGCTAATTCAAGTCCAGTTCGACGAATGTGAATTCAGTTGAATTGCTATATTTCTACTTCTGGGGCCCCCAGGGGTCCAATTTATGGCCACACTCATTCTTACTGTTCCTAAACGATTCGGAAAAGATACCATGTCCTCATATTCTTTTCGCAGACGACTTGGAGTTTTATTCATTAGTTTACTCCACAGAAGATTGTTGTCATTTACAAACCTAGCTCAGTGAAGTTAAGGATGTGGGGGTTATATTTGATCGAAGACTTTCATTCATATAACTCAATTTGTATCGTCTACTTTGAAGTTATTGGAGTATTTCTCCACGAATTGCAAAAATGTTTCGAGTGTTAATACGCTCAAATTCTATTCAGCGCTCAGAATTTGTCAGCATATATGCTTGAGATTCACTTTTGTCAAGTGCGATCAGAATATTTCATATTTCTTAGCGGCTCTGGCGGATAGAAGAAAATGCACTGCAATTACGATTTAATTTAAACTATAGAACAGCGGAATTGACAATAGTGACTTGTTGAGAAAAATTCAGTTTCTTGTGAGACCACCATTCGATAGGAATTCTGGGAAAAAACCATTGAAAAATTGACGAGTCTTTGTGGAGTTATTCAATAAAATGTCCAACTTATGCAATATACATCATGATAGCAAACATTTCATTCCAAAAACCGTCATAAACTCGATGTTATGATTGTTTTTCATTTTTGTATTCTATTTCTTTTTTTTTCTCTATATACTTATTGAATTATTTGTCTTTTCTCTATTTGTTGGTGTAAACCTGTTGAGAATAAATATGTTTTTATTTGAAGAGAAATTCATTAATAGAGTGTATTTGTATAAAAGCATCAGTGCCTCCAGGCTTAAATTATACTGCTTTGAACTTGAATGTTACAATGCACCCTCCTGAAATTTAAATGGAAAAGCTCACGAAGGCAATTTTGTAAACTCCGACAAACACAAGAACGTCAGATAATATTTTTTTTAGTAGTCAAAGGAATAGCAGGCAACTATGGACTGAAATATAAATATTTATATAACGTGGACCAGAGGAAATAAAACAAAGCCGATTAGGCCCTTCGATTTTTATTCTGAGGGGTACATTTTTTAGGAATATTCGCAACCATTTTACTTCCACCCCATCGGCGGGGTAAGATCCAATTACATCTTAAATTGAATAGGGGTTGTGCAACACCTAATTGATAAGTAATCGATTTTTCAACCATTCAAATTTTCTCAGTCAATAGAAAGACTGATATTAACCACCACAGTAAAATTTATGCTTTGTTACTGGATATTGATGAATATTTGCATCATTTTTATTTCTAATAATGACATTTCTAAAATTATGCCATAGTAATTCCTCACTCTCAAATAACTGAATTCATAACTGTATCACAAAAATTAAGAAATGAATAACATATAATTTTTTGCACAACATTGAATATTTCAAATTAATAAATACTTTCGTGACATTTCAGAATGGTTTTCCTCAATAGCAGTTATTAGAAGTGTTTTCTCATTTGAAGGCATATTCCCGCAACATATGTCTCTCATCAGACTTACACCACTTTGTGAATATTTATTGTTCCATGGTTTGCTCTTGACAGACATTGATTTTTGAATTCTATGATATACTTCATATGTCATAATTAATTTCCTTTGTGTTGAAGCGAGTTTTGAGGTTACTAAGCACATGTGCTTTGACCTGTAGAATATTTTTGAATGCTATCAATACGTATCGAATTAGCTGTTTCATCTTAAGACACATCTTCATCTCCAGTGACGTATTTAATTTGTATATTTCTCACATTTTTTTTGACACGGACAATATGACTAGCAGTACATTTGTTTCTCCTAAAATTTAAACTTGTATCTTCATTAAAGAAGAGGTGATGCCATCTCCTCCTATGAAGACGCAATCTTTATATTTCCCTGAATTTGGGTTACATCAGGTAATATCTAGAAACAGTGAAACTAGAGAAACTCCAACACAAAGGATATTACCTGATGTATCCCAAATACAGGCAAATTTAAAGAGACATCCGGAAGACAACAGAGAACAAATACCTTCACTAAGGCGTTCTAACCGTATAAAAGAACAAACAAGAAGATAAAACGTTCATTTTGAGCATAGCCATGAAGAAGATAGTACAGCCTGCTATCGAGAGCGCTCGAATATAATGAGTAGAAGTTATTAAAGCTTCAAATCCTTTGTTCTACAAACAAGTCAAAGTCGCCCCAATGGGTTCTCCTCTCTCTATAGTCCTTGCAAACCTCTACATGGAGGACCTCGAAACCAGAGCCATTGACACGTCTCATCTCAAACCCACGGGTTGGCTCCGATACGTGGATGACGTCTTCGTTATATAGCCCCATGGATCCGATGATCTTCATGCATTCCTGAACCACATCAACTCTTTACACCCCGACCTAAAGTTCACAATGGAAGTTGAAAATAATAACTCGCTCCCTTTCCTGGACGTTCTCATCACAAAGTCCAGCAACTCCTTCTCACACACGATCTACCGAAAACCTACCCATATTAAACCGCTACCTCAATGTCAAGTCCCAGCATCATCTTGCCCAGCCGAATTCCGTTCCGAATTCCCTCATATATCGTTCTATAAGACTAACTGACAACCACAATAGATCCAGGGAACTATACGAACTCACAACCCCACCCCACGAGTTACCTGAGGAACAGACCAACCAGACAAAAGCTTTTCTCCTCTACATCCATGGAGTTACTGACAAAGTGAGCTGAATTCTGAAGAAACATAACGTAAAGACAGTATTCACAGCCAACAACCAAATCTCCACTATGTTAAGAACACCCAAGGACACGATACGCAATGAAGCACAGGGCATATACGAAATATCATATTCTAACTGCCCCAGAACTTACATCGGCCAGACCAATAGAAGAATTTCCAATAGAGCCTATGAACATGAACTAGCTGTTCGCAAATCAGATCCAGCATCATCTCTCCACAAACANTCATAATTTTTTCCTTTCCGTACCGTTCGACGGTACCTACTTTCTTCATTTCACATCCAAACGCACGAATTCTGTCAATGAAACCGTTCAAAATAACCCTCCCAAATTCTGAAAATGCATATGACTTCCAACCTTTCGAATACGCTTTAGTGTTCATCATTCAATCAAAAGATATGACGATAACCTATATTTAGAAATACACAGTATGTTTATTAATCGCAAATTCAGTAATTTTCATTTGATGAGTCACAATGAATATTCGATAATTCAAGTAACAGTGAGAACAAGAACAATGCTTATGTTTCAATAATGCATTAGGTTTTGAATATCAGTATTCAGTAGCGGCAGATTCGTAAGGGAAATGTAAATGTATACAAACTAGTTGACATTTTGTTAATTAATTATAAACTACCAATTGAAAAAAAAACTTAATTTGTATAAGATATTTGGAAAGACATGTGTCCAAACACATCGCATTCATGATTCAACATCAGACAGCGCTGTTTCGACCCGTCATAGGTCTCATCAGTTGTGCTAGGCTGAACCTTATTTGTGGTCGTTGTCTGGTGTTCAATCACGAATCTGTTTTGTTCGGGTTCTATTTTCCAACAGGTTGCCACGCTGTGAAAGCGGACCTTGTTTGTGTACCTGTAAGGGCAGGTAACAAGATTTTATGAATGTTCATCAAACCTTCTTTTCTATTAAAATTATCACTGTGTTTCAAGAAGCTACTAAATACTATCAACACGAGAATAATTCACTCCTCATATATCAAAGTGGTAATCTTACACTGTTTGAATTCTAATTTCACAAAAGAAACAGTTCTCTTGGCACGGAACCTATTTTTGCAATAAGAGTTCCCTGCCATATGAATTGAAGGCCGCCACTGATGTAAACTATAGTGACAAAGTTTACGTTCTATATATAAACTGACGATAAATTATTGAATCTGAATATGTGGTCATTATGCCATGTTCTCAAAAAAACAACGACAATTTTTTATTTTTAACGAATAAGTAATATTTTCCGGAAGAGTATACATTGAAATTTCTTTAATGTGTTTAATTGTTTTTTTGACTGATTTGATGATTTTTGTGCAAATGCCACCAACTAACTCCGAGTCCACTTATGTCTCGCTTGCGTTTACGCAGTTATTTTTATTAAGTACTTTTCTTGGTTTTTCTCATTTTGTCTCCAATCGAGGACCGCCTGCCCGGTACTGACGATGCCCAATAGGCTGAAACAGCTGTCTACCGGTGGCTCTTAAATTAAAATCAATATGGGAATGATCAGAATGGTACTCATTTATTTATCTTTTAATTATCATGGAATTATTTTCCAGCAGCTTGACTGCAACTTTTCTCGATTTCATATCATTTCTAGAAACATGTGGATTTGTTTTTCGATGACATTCCAGGTTAGCTACCCAAATTTGTGCCACCGCAGTGGTAGGTAGATTGGTCAAACCACCAACACTGACATAAAAAACTTGACAAGTTGACTTGGGTGTCACACCAATAGGTGGTTTCACTTATGTCTCGTTTGCGTTTACGCAGATATTGTATTGACGATGCCCAATAGGCTGAAACAGCTGTCTACCGGTGGGTCTTAAATTGAAATCAATATGGGAATGATCAGAATGGTACCTATTTATTTATCTTTTAATTTTCATTGAATTATTTTCCAGCAGCTTGACTGCATTAACCTTTCTCGATTTTATATACAGGGCTATTCAAATTCGTTTCTGTACATGGGGATCTCGTGAACGATAAGAGATAGAGTGTCGGTTAAATTGTGGCGAAGTTGCGAATTTTAGAGACCTATTCAATGATGTAAAAAAATCGAATATAGCTCTTTTGGTTCTGGAGATATACAGGAAAAACAATAGTGAAATGTTTTATTTGAAAATACATTAAACGCACTCTTTTTTTAAAAGTAAATCTTCCAAATTTTCATTAAGTTTCAGGACTATTAACCTCAAACAGAAAATCATTATCATCTCAGTTTGTTTGTTAATATTACGGTATTAAAGGTATGATGGGTTTGTCATATTTTTTATTATGTTGTGATTTTCAACTAAACCATCCACCAATCATTTTTATTTTCACGACATGTTTGATAGACGAAGCGAATTTTTAAATTGAGACACATTCAATAAATGATGCAAGACAATTTCACGAAAATAATGTTTTTCATTAGTGAATTTTGAAGAAAACGTGAACTATACCTTGAAGCACAGCCTTCAAACTGGAGGAAATCTGAAACGCATTCAGACTTATAATAAACACCACATACTAGGTTACAATTATAGATAAGCGACACATATACCGATATACAATGGTAATTGAGCCTTGGATACAAGAAAAAGCGTATACTGACATTTACCTTACCAATAACAGATAAACCATAATGGATGATATATTTGTAGAAGGAATTAAATAAAAATTAGCCCTATCTTAACGATTACTAAACCAAATTTAGAAGCTATAAACAGTATAGTTTATCTTCTACAAGATTATAAATTTTAACAGGGTCATAACGCTTATCTCTACTAGAAAAAAAAATATTTATCAACTTACAATGTTTACAGAGGATTGGTGTTAGGAAAAAGGCATCTTCCAACTTGTGTTCTGGCTTGTTTTCCATGTCTGAAATAAAAAACACATGAGATCACTTAATTCGAATTTTTACAAATGTGATGAAGGAGAGGAAGGTTTCCGTTGCTGCTTTTACACGATAAAAGCAAAATATTTTTCCTAACACTTCAATGTTTAGTCGAAACGGTAGATTCGATGGAAAACTAATCTCCGTCCATCATAAATCAAGTTTCAAAATTGACCGCCAAATGAGATTTCGCTTTCTATCTCTCTGCAGCTTTTACTTCAAATAGAGTTCCAAAATGTTGCTTTCATGAACAGCAGAATCATGCATGCAACATCTGACTGTCCTAGTGGACAATGGACATTGAATTATATCTGTCATAGGTATATTTATGCAAGAGACCTCACAGAGAATAAAAAGAGAGACAGAGACTATGTGTTTATTATCCAAGATACATGACCTTATTGACAAACACTGGTAAAAAAAGAGAACATGTAAATAAACATCTAGATAAATATACAAGTACATAATAACATGAAAATAATAATACATATAAATAATCACATGTAGGTAAAAGTACACATATATTATTACATATAAGCACCGTCAATTTCATATCGTTTCGTCATTAAAATATTCTGTCAGATTGTAATAGGCCTTAGATGCTGGTGTTTCATGTAACTTTTTCCTAAAAGTTTTAAGAGAATCCATGTTATTTATATCTTCAGGAAGTTTATTATACATTTTGACACCGACGTAAATTATTGAAAAATGACGTTATTTTTCTACAACGTTGCTGCCCCCCCCTTTCTTTACGTCACTCTCAAATTGTCAGATTACTGGAATATACACTTTTCAGCAGGTAATCAACTCACCCTACCTTAATCTGACGCGCTCGAGAATTTCTGATGATCAATTTTTTTTGCTAATCTGATCCTTTATCCCTCACAGGCGGCCTTATATACGGGGCTCATATTTGTTGGAGGTACTTAACCGGGTACAAGGTATCCCCCTGTATATTAATCTGCCGCACTTTAGTAAATCCCGAAATCCCCGCTTGGGCTCCCCTATTATAAGACGTTTGCAGGAACTTAACAAAAATAGCGCACCGCTTGCTTTTGCAGCAAAAATATACTCTCATTACTACACGAACCCCAGAACTGTATTGCGGACCTTAAGTTTGACTCGATAAGAGCAAAATAGACATTTTTTGCCGCAGCATAACCTAACTCTTTAGCTGTAGACTTGTGGGCAAAACAGCCGAATAATAATTTTTTGTTTAGCATGTTAATATGATTTGTGAATTTCAAATTGGTAACAGATGTTTCTCGTTCATCCAGCAGCAGAAACACTTAGTGTGTTGGAGTATTGGTACATGGGATATTTTTTTCCGCTTTTGAGGCTTTGTTCATGAGCTGCAACTAGTTAACGCATCTTTCTGTCAGACGAAGGTATCATACATGCAGTCGAACAACGTCCCAGACACACTTCTGTTTGGTTAGGATATATCCTACACCAACGTGGGATAATACCCCGAAACTGATTTGTAGGTGATCAACTCAATTGCCTTCAGCGTGGTCCTGCTGTTGAATGAAGGAGAATCATATGCACGACTATCATCTGTGAAGTTATTTGCTCAAATGTCTATCTGATATAATTTAAGTTTCATCGCGGTATTAGCCGGGAAAGTAATCATGAACTGCCAGAAAAATAACTTCGCAAAAATTCAAAAACGTCAAGTTTTGTAAGAGGGACAAGTTTTGACACCAAACTCTTTGCAAGACCTCCAACTCTCTTGTATTCAAATTTTGTTTGAATTATTCTTCAAGAAAAGTACTTGAAACGAATAGTTCCACAAAAATGTATTTTGAAAAAAAAATCCAAAAACGTTCAAATAGCTCTAATTATGAAAGACCATATATTTGTGCGCCTACCGTTGGAATGTAATAAAATAACAAGTGGAACAGTAGGCAGTATGGATTATCGCGACCCTAATCGGTGATGACATATCACCTGTATCGTCAAAACTCTTTCAATTTCTAATATTTCTAACAAAACGAGCCGAGTTTCCAATGATAGTTTTCAATAGTAGAATTTTGGGGTCATGGCTACATATTATTTTTATCTGAAAGATTAATGGCATTAGGTGAATCTGTGTTTACGTGCCTACTACCAAATCGTCTCGGAATTCAATAGATGAAATTATCGACCGGTATTATTCAAACAGCAAAATGAAAACCGTTCCTGATTCCATAACCTGATTCCGATTATAATACACAGAAGTAATGTTCATTATTTTAGGGATTCTTATTGAATTCGAAATAAAATGACACGTTGAATGATATAAATCACCAGTAACTGATTTCCCTGGTGGTTTATTTCTTTTTCATAATGTAACTTTCAGGTCCGGTATTCAGGGCTGGTGAAGGGTTGTTAAAAAGCCCTTTAAAAGGGAAAACTTTGGAATTTAGTGTCATTCAATCTGTTACACGTTTCTATTTAGTCTAATCAACAAGTTCAAAAATATGAAAAATAGAGATAAAGGTCCTAAAAATATGAACGATAGCTCATTCGATTCGGAATCACCTCTAATTTGTTTTCACATTGAACAATGGCAGTTATTAACATAGGATATGAATTTTTTGCGTAATTTTTTTATTAAATTGTTTTGAACAAATAGAGAAATTCAATATTTTTGAATATTTCTGAGCCCTTCAGTTCAGGTCCGCACTCAATGCATTCGTTATATTAATCCAATAGGAGTTTAAAAATCGAAGAACTAATCAGATAGAGGGGTGGATGACAATATAACATAAAAAAATATTGAAAAATCATAATATACGACTCAGCATATGACAATATTAACCGCAGTTCATAAAATAATTACTACATGGGCTGAGAAGTATTGGGCCTAACACATAGATGGCGTTATTGTGCTACGAAAGACACTACTTTTGTTATTTTCAAAACAATGAAACAGAAACAATTTCGTGATTTAATTTTACACTGTTTCTTGGTGGGAAAAATACCGTTCAAGCAACGCAATGGCTTGAAAAGTGTTATACTATAACAAGTTTCAATTGAAGGTGATTCATTACCAACGTCGCACTTGAAGTGACCAACGGATAATCATCTTACTAACTCTGCAGAGGCCTACTAAAATAATATTTTTATTTATTTAAACACATAGGTAATTACGTAAAAATTGTTATAGTAGGTGGCGCTACCTGGTGTCAATGGTAAAACTAATGTCTTCGTGATAATCCCCCGTTTTTTTTTATAAAAAAAATTAGTGCACTATCGTCTAAAAAGCCACTCTCGCTACCTATATGGGCGACAATTAGTCGTTGCCCTTTACCCGTTGGGCCGCGTAACCCTGTTGATAAACCGTCCACAAATGCTTGACGATGACTAGTTACAGTAGTATCTTGCCAGATCTTAGATACTGTGTGACCAGCATTCACCCACGTTTCGTCCAGATAATAAATATTTTTGTGAACAGAACGCATTTCTCTAATAGAGCGAAGATATCTCCGTCGCCATGAGACTATATCTTCTCTTTCTATTAAGACAGATTTACGGGATCGTTTGGCATATATAAATTTTCAATCTTCTTTTATTATTTTCCTTAACTTCTTTTTGCTCATTTTTGGAATGATAGCTTTATCCATTACCTTTGTCCTAATGGATTCGAGGGTTGGCGCTTTATTCTCAAAAAAGAAAGAATGAATGGTATAGCGTACAAAATGTTTCTGGTAACCGTCCAATTCAATTTTTTTTCTACCACGACATTGTACTTTTGGAGCTTGCACAATCCCAGTCCCCTTTTTTTCACGTACAATGCGTTCAATTGTCGACACGGATATTCCCGTTAAAAATGAACACTGGGCTACAGCGACTTCATTCAATGTCGACAATACATTGTTTCCCAAATTGTTCATATCTATGATTAAAATCCCTTTCTGTGTAGTTCCACTTTATAAGTTTTAATTTTGTGTATAACACATATGGTCTGAAGCTTATGGTTTGGGAGCTACAAATTATTTGACTTGAAAACGATCCACCCTGAATGAACCTCTGTACAATCTGTTTCCTAGGTTTCATAGATGTTTTGTGAAGCGTACTTCAAAAAAGTCTTATTTTGCCTAGTTAAATTTTAATTCGGTCTCTTCATTTTGTATTTGTCTCATTCTACAATAACGGTTACCTACCAGGTGAAATTACAATTACTGTTTCGTTTTTATGAACCCTTGAGAAGCAATGGTTTCTATGTGTCATTGCTTTTCGAATTTTAAATCCGTGGATTTTTGGAATTTCTGTGTTTTCAAACACAGAACTAATTGCCCCCAACCAGGGATACCATAGCCGACTGGTACGGGAGGCAATAGAGATCCACAAACACACGGAGAATTTCAACAGAAAAAAAGAAGCGGTTAAGCTTCGTAAATACGCTTTACGAAGCCTAAAAGGTATTCATCGGACAGCAAGCCATGATGGTTAAACCTCTGAAGAAGCTAGCCACTCGCGCCAGCGAAACGTCAGGAAGAAATTCCAAAAATCCACGACTTTCAAACTTCAAAAGCAATGACACTGAAAACCTCAGCCGTGTTGGCAGAAGAGGTCCTACAGAATGGCCACCAAGATCTCCGGATATCACTCCTGTAGATTTTTTTCTACGGGGTCATTTGAAGTCTAAAGTCTATGAGATAGAATCAACAACATTCGAAGATTTGAGAGAGAATATTATGAGGCATTGCAGAGAAATAACTCCCGAGGGCGGCAATGGAAGCTCGTTTGTACCATTGTATGGATCTTGGTGGAAACGTTTTGAACATTTACCATAGAATTTTTTTTATCTCATTGTCCACTCATTTGTTTTTTTGATTTTTTCTGCAAATCATTGTTTCGAAATTTATTCAGGGTGGCTCGTTTTCAAATCAAATAATTTGTAGCTCCCGAACCATAAGCTTCGGACCATATATTTTATACTTTGTTAAAATATGCTCATCATGGAGCATCTGATAATGTGAAACAATATAGGGTGATC